AACAATATATAGTCAGCATCAGACAGACTAAAGCGGTTAAGTGAATACTGTTCTAGACAGTTTCTTGATATCTGTACATATGAATGCACTTTTTTTTTTGTTTGTTTGTTTGGTTTTTTTTGGTTTTTCTCCGGTACCAGGAACCGAACTCACGACTCACCTTGCGCTTGCCAAGCAGACGCTTTGCCGCTGAGCTAAATCCCCAGCCCCTGAATGCATTTTTGAAAAGAAAACATTGGCATTGCCATAATACTGCTTTTTTTTTTTTTTTTTTTTTTTGGTACCAGAAATCAAACTTATGACCTTGCACTTGCCAGGCAGGCGCTGTGCTGCTGAGCTATATCCCTGGCCACAATACTGTTTTATACCCTGCTGTCTCAATGAAGGGGACACCTTTATGCCTCAGTAAATTCATGTCACCATCATGATCTCTTAAGGATATAATTAATAATTTTTTCCAGCCCTCTATCACCTTCCCTTATAATCCTTCCCCTCCCCTTATTCCTTTCCTCTTGTCTAATAATAGACTCCTTTCAATGGTCATGCCATCTCTTTTAGATTCCATATATTGGGAAACTTGTGTTACTTAATATGATGATCTCCAGTTCTACCTATTTTCCTGCAAATGTCATAATTTCATGCTTCTTTACAGCCAAGTGATACTCCCATGTGGTACAATAAACGTGTAGATGTGCCACATTTGCTTTATCCATTGGTCTGTTGGTGGGCACCTGGGCCGGTTCCTTACCATATCTGTTGTCTATTGTGCCACAGCAAATATGGTTATGCAAGGATCCCTATAGTATGTTGACTTCCTTCAGGTATACAGCAGGGAGTAGCTAGATCAAATGGTATCCTCCATACTGATTTCTTTAGTGGCTGTACTAATTTACATTCCCACCAGCAGGGTAGAAAGGTCTCCTCCCCCACCCCTATCCTTGTCAGAATTAATTAATTAATTTTTGTGTTTATTGATTGACTTATATTCTTGATGGCAAGCATTCTGACTGGGATGAGATGGAATCTCATTGGAGGGCTAATTTTGTTTTAGCCATTTCCCTAATGACTAAAGATATTGCACATTTTTCCTATACTTATTGGCCATTTCTATGTGTATTTCTTCTTTTGGGGAGTGTCTGTTTTTTCTTTGCCCATTTTTTGTTTTTGTGTCAAGTTTTTTTTTTTTTTATATTCTAGGCATGAATCTTCTGTCAGAAGAGTAACTGGCCAGGATTTTCCCTCTCTGCACTCTGCGAATTGTTTCCCTTGTTGTGCAGAAACGTTTAATCTGATGTAGTCTCATTTACTCATTCTTACTATTATTCTGGGTTACTGCGGTCCTATTCAGGAAGTCTTTGCCTGTACCTATGGCTTCAGTGTTCCTTCTACACTTTCTTCTAGTAAGTTCAGTGTTCCAGGTCTTATACTTAGGTCTTTGATCCATTTTGAATAGATTTTTTTATGGAGAGCAAGAGATAAGGATCTAATTTCAATTTTCTATATATGGATATCCAGATTTTTCAGGACCATTTGATAAAGAGGCTGTCTTTTCTCCAATGTACATTTTTTTTTATTTTTTATTTTAAAGAGTAAAAGAAGGATAACATAATAATA